ATTGAAGAAACAAGGAGAATTATATCTGTTACAAAGTGTCCTAAAAAAGTATAAAATTAAGATGGCGTTACTGTACCAGAATATTGTTTTAACCTTCGTCGTATAGTGCTAAAAAATTACACAGAATACAGTGCTGGGTACATTTTAATTTAAGACCACCATAAATCTGTTAAAGTAGCTATATATGATGTAATAAAGGGGTGTATCTCTCCTCCTTATAGTTAACAAAATATGGCAAATTAATATGCATACGCAATGCACTATTTATACAACAAAAGTTTAATTGCGTCTCCTGTAAATTGGAGTTATAACTCTTTGTCTTTCCAGCGATAACTTGTACCCTAAGTATAAATGCATTTTTTTTGACTTTTCAATATTACTACTTTGATATTAAAAAAAAAAAACAAAGTCAATATAAAACAAAATATTTATTTAAACTAATATAACAAAACATTTATGTAATTCTCTTATTGCTGTGCTATAACTGTATTATTGGTTATAATAAAAAAATAAAACAAAAATCTATTTTTTAATATTTTGACATTTTTTATACAATATTTTTTTATAGTTTCTCTTATTGCTGTGCTATAACTGTATTATTGGTTATAATAAAAAAATAAAACAAAAATCTATTTTTTAATATTTTGACATTTTTTATACAATATTTTTTTTTAGTTTAAACTACTCACAAAAGGGTGCACTTAATTTTCTGTTTTTTAAGGAAATTTTTACATCAATACATTAATACATACAAAAAATTAAAAAAAAAAAAAACAGGTACATTTTTCAAAATCAATTAATATTTTGAACACTACCATCAGGATTTAGGGGGACACTTGCCTCTCTTGCCATGCATGTCACGTTTTTTAAATAAAAATTTTAACATGTATTTTAGTAAATCACTGACAAATATTTTGATGTGCTTATTTACAATAAATTAAATTGATAAATATAAAATTGGGGTAGCTCGTACCATACGATGAAGGTTAAAAAAAAGGCCGAAAGCTGTGAAAGTTGATAGTAAAATTAAAGAAAGGAAGACTTACATCAGCTTTCGGAAAGGCGCCGTGGCTTGGAAAATATAGATAAGACTGAGGAATATCTTTGTTGAACTTTTGCGAACACTTGATCAAATCATGGCTTTCCGGTCCTCTTGTTGGAACAGATTTTCATGTCTATATTCCATCCAATGATTACAGAACAGCAGACAAAGAATAAGAAAGACAAATGGCATATTACCCACGTAAAAGCTGCCAGAAGTGAATGTTATAACTGATATTATTTTTATTATTGCAACAAGAATAACTAATGTACGAGGATAGATGAAAAGTGTTGCGACTAAATGTGTAAATTTGACAGTTATTTTTTGTCTCGTTCTAGATTTTTTTTTTCATCTATCAACGTATTTGGTACTTGCTATAGTGCCCTGTAAACGATATAAAAACATAACTTCTAATATCTTCTTTCTAAATTGAATACATTATGTTGAAGGATCTTTAACAGTATTTTTTTAATTTTTTTCTAAATTACGTCATTATTGCATGAAATTAAAGTTTAGCTATCCCAAAAAAAGATAAATCTAAACATTGACATACATCAGGTACTAGACCATTTCATCCCTATCTTTAATACATGCACTATGCTCTAAATTTTTGAATTTAATTTTATTAACTTAAAAAAATTATTTTATGTAACGTACTCGGTTTCGATCTAAAAATGGCGCGCGGAAGGCTATTTTGAGCGTTAAATTAAAATTATAAATAATGGAGGTACAGTTCCGGGAGTCGGAACTTATTTATAGCAAATTTCCTCCTCTTTAAGGATCTTTTTTGAAAAATCCAAAAATATTTATAGTTTACAAACTATAGGCGAAAAACCAAACACCATGTTTTTGAGGTGTTTAATTGTTTATAACTTTTGCAATTTTTTATGCACTGCAAAATTTTTTTTCACTCATTGATCTAGACATTACGAGGATATATCAGTATATAACGAGACTGGTGTTATAACTTCTTTCAGAGGTAACATTTTATAACCCAAAAAATGAGACATGAAAGCCTTATATTTAATGTACTACCCCGCAAGTAGGCTTTGATTTAACTTTTGACATTTGTTACAAATTAATTATTGAATTGTCAGTGTTTTGCGTACCCATCGAAAAATGAAAGTGGAGCAAAGATACGCGGTAAAATTTTGTGTTCGATTGGGTAAAACACCAACTGAAACTTTTGAAATGATTAAAGGTGCATATCTAGATAATAGTTTATCACGATGTAGAGTGTTTGAGTGGCATAAAAAGTTTAAAGACGGTTGTGAATCAGTTGAAGATGAACCTCGTCCCGGTCGACCACAAACTGCGAGAAATGACACAAAAATTGCAGAAATTAACGACTTGATACAAAATGATCGCCGGATTGGCATAAAACGAATGTCTGACAATGTTAATTTGTCTTACGGTACCACTCAAAAAATTATTCATGAAGATTTAGAGTACCGGACGATCGCGGCAAGATGGATTCCAAAAGTGATGACCGATGAACAAAAAGCGAATCGAGTGACAATTTGTCAGCAGTGGAAAAGGCAATTGCAACGTAACCCACAGTTTTTAAATAATGTGGTTACATGTGACGAAAGTTGGTTTTATCATTACGATCCTGAATTGAAGTCTCAAAGTATGCAATGGAAGCATAAAGGCAGCCCAAGACCGCAGAAGGCCAAAACTGCTAAAAACGCTGGTAAAGTGATGCACCTGATTTTTTTTGATAAATTTGGCGTTATTTACGATCACATTGTACCTAGAGGATATACAGTAACAGGGGAGTACTATTTTAATGTACTTCGAGGACCCTTAAAGGCAAAATTAAAGAAAAAAAGGCCGCTTTATCAGGACTTTGGCTGGACGCTGCATCACGACAATGCTCCGGCTCATAGATCAATGATTTGTCAACAAACAATTGAAGAATTAGGGGTTGAAATTATGGTTCATCCCCTCTACTCTCCTGACCTTGCTCCATGTGACTTCCATTTGTTTCCTGAAGTCAAAAAAGAATTGAGAGGTAGAAGATTTGAGTCGGATTTAGAGCTCAACAACGCTGTGATGGGTATACTAAACAGATAATCAAAAAATGGTTTCTCAGAAGTTTACGATAAGTGGATAAAGCGATGGAATAAGTGTATTCAACAGAATGGAGAGTACTTCGAAGGATAGTTTTTGAATTTTTTTAAATAAATGTTTCGTTGTTATACTATAGCACCAGTCTCGTTAAAAACAAAAAATCTGACACATTATGAATATTATAAACAATTAAAAAATTTTACTACGGTGGCTATTAGAAATGAAAAGAAAGGTTATCTAAAATATTGCGTTGATACATTTGGTAGAAACAGCCGTATTATGTGGCAAAAACTTAAGAATTTAAATATAAATTCTAAACCTGCAAAATCCAAGTTACCTGAAAACCTAAATGTTCCTAATGACATAAACAATCACTTTTTATTGGCAACTGGTAACTGTGCCGATGCTGACCAAGATTTACTTCTTTTCTATACTAATAATTTTAAAGACAACTTCCGTAACTTGCTAAGTTTTACAACTGTTAATCAAAATACTATCTATAAGTATTTAAACGAAATTAAAACGCAGGCTATAGGAATTGATGGATTGCAAATTAATATGCTCCTTATGTGTTGTCCGTATATTTTAATTTTCATTACGAATATTGTTAATTTCTGTATAAAGGAATCTTTTTTTCCAGGCCTTTGGAAAGTCACAAAAGTTTTCCCATTGCCTAAAAAGAACAATATTAGTAGCTTTAGTGAATTATGACCCATTTCAATCTTATCAGTGTTATCAAAAGTTCTGGAAAAAGTAATTAAATATCAGATAGAGTCTCACATCAACAATTACAATATTTTACCAATCAGCCAATCTGGTTTCAGACGTGGCTACAGCTGTACTTCAGCATTATTAGAGGTCACTGATGATATCTTTAGGGATATAGACAAAGGGTATACAAACGTTTTAATACTTCTAGATTATACAAAAGCCTTTGATACAATTAACCATCAGCTTCTGTTCAGTATTCTTCACTATGTTGGTTTTTCGGTTAAAGCAACTGAATTTATTAAAAACTATCTTTCCGATCGTTCACAGTTTGTTGAAACAAGTGCCGGTAGATCTGATATTAAAAATATTGCCTGCGGTGTGCCACAGGGCTCTATTTTGGGACCAATTTTGTTTTGCATTTACTCTACTAATATTAGTTCGGCTCTTACCAATGGCAGAGTTTATATATATGCTGATGATACGCAAATAAGGTTTTCTTTGTCTGATTTTAATGTTGCTCTTACTAATGAACTGATTAACTCAGAATTAATAAAAATCGTAAATTTTTCTAACAGACATCAGCTAACTATCAATCCCGCAAAAACACAAATACTCGTCTTTGGAAAAAATAAAAAAGAACTAGCAGAACATTTATCTGTGAGTATTGATGGTGTCTTGGTGGCTTGTGTAGATGTTGCCAAAAATCTGGGTCTTCATCTTGATACTGACTTAAAATTTAAAAGCCATGTAAATAATTGTATAAAAAGGGCTTTCGCTAATTTGAAAATGCTTTACCCGCATCGCCATGTTTTAGATCAAAATATAAAAATACTTCTTTGTGATACTATGGTTCTCAGTCATTTTAATTACTGCGATGTCGTCTACGGGCCTTGTATTGACTATGTGGATATTAATCGTATTCAAAGAGTACAAAATTCTTGTCTTCGCTACATATATGGTATAAAAAAATACGAAAGGATAAGTCACAAACTAATTGAAACTAACTGGTTAAATATGGAAACTAGAAGGAATTTACACATGGTAACATTGTATCATAAGATCATTTCATTAAAGTCGCCTCCTTATCTCTATAATAAAATTACATTTCGAAGTGATGTGCATAATGTGCATACAAGGTTTAGAGGGCATATATCTCCACCTCTCCATCGTACCTCCAAATTTCAAGGTTCATTCTCTTATATGATATTTAAACTATATAACCTGGTTCCTCCTAAACTCAAACATCTTTCGACAAATATGTTTAAGCAAAAGTATAAACATCTCTTGATGTCAGAAAATATCTAGTCAAAACAACCATTAGATATTATAATAAAATGTAATATTACATTTATAAAATGTGTATTTATATTTTTGTCTCGATTATGCCACACTTTATTCGTTGTATTTTATTATTTTAATTTTTTTCTTTTCTTTATTAGGGATAGCAATTAATATCAGCTATGCTGTCTGCTATTCCCTTTTTGTAGTATTATACTATTTTGTTCGATAAAATTTATGTATTTAATGCAAATTTACCTGTAATACTGCAAATAAATTATTATTATTATTATTATTTTCTGATACATCCTCGTATTCCGAATCGAATGAGCTATTGAACATAATTTTCGTAATAGTATGTCCCAAAAACACGCTTTTGAACTTGTTGATTAGACTATTATAAATAACTAATATGAGCCTTCTAATTGGTCGCCTACTGGCGCATTTATTTTATATCGTTTACAGGTACTATAAATACCTTTAGATATACCTTCAAATTTTTTTTGAAACATATTGTACGCTTTTTTCAAATGAGTGTTTAAATGGGTTTTAATATTAGTCGTCCAAACAGTTTGATAATCACAAAAATGACACGAATGTATTTTCGAAGTAATCGTTTTAATCAATAAAACATTATTTTTGTGTTTGCTCAATATATGCGAATCCAAATTATGTTTCTCGATAAAACCTTGTTTGCATTCTTTACAAAAAAACGATTTAAGTCCGGTGTGCGTTGCTAAATGGTTTTTAAAATTCGCTCGTTTCGTACATTTATATTTACATATATCGCACGTGTACGTTCTATTTGTTACCGATTTACTTAGTAAATCATTTTTACTATGTTTGCTGACAATATGAGCATCTAATTGATTTTTTTGGTTAAATCGTTTTTTGCATTCAGTACAGAGATACAATTGTTCTTTACCATGTGTCAATATGTGCTGTTTTAAATGATTTTTATTGTTAGTCGAATACCCACATTCCGAACACGAATATTTTTTATTAATGTCTCTTGTATGTGTAAACATATGCTTAGTCAAATGAGTGGCGTTTAAGGTTTTATATGTACACAAATTACAATATTTAATTTCCCCGGTGATAAGGTGAATATTTTCGGGATGATTCGTTAAAATATGCGACTCGAGTTCGAATCGTTTAATAAACCCTTTGGAACAACTTGTACAAGCAAACCGATGAGAATTATACCCTTCGTGTCGTTTTTTGTGCTTAGTTAAATAATTTTTGTGATAAGTTTTAAAATCGCAGTTGTTGCAATGATAAACTTCCGCTTTATCTTTTTTATGAATGATTTTTACGTGTTGCGTTAAAGGACTTTTTTGTGTCGCAGCATAATCGCAATAGTCGCATTTGTAATTCTTGTTTTTGTTGTTCGCTCCATTTTTCCTGGAAAATAATTTGTTAATTTTAAATAAAAACATGAAATTACTATAAAGCGTTTTAAATAGGAACAATTAAAAATGAAATATGAAAATATCACACATAAATAATTTTTTTACGTTCATGCAAACAAGTATTAGAAATTAAAACTTTAAAAAAACCGACTTCAAAAATGTACAGATGCCATCACCACATCTTAACCAAATTTATATGGGACTATCCCTGAGGTACCCCCTCACTAACAAAAAAAGAATCACATAAATCGGACAAGGTGGTAAAGCATTGTCGCTAAACATACATAAAAAATGAAGAGTTTGAGAATTTTCTCATGGACTCAATTATTAGATTTTGACTAAATTTATATGGGACCACCCCTGAAGTACCCCCTTTCTAACAAAAAAAGAATCATTGAAATCGGACACCGTGTTAAAGAATAATCGAACCTCCTCCTTTTTTGAAGTCAGTTAAAAACAAAACTTTATTGAACTATATTTAGTGAAAAAGCTGGTTCTTTATTGCACTAGTGCAATAAAAAATTTATTGCACTCATCTGTCATTTTACTACAGCGTTTTATGATCATGACAAACATAAATATTCAAATCAACGCCAAATATTTAGTCCATTTTCATTTTCTGTGTTACGTTTTAAAAACAATTGCATATTTTATATTATTTTCAATCATTTAATAAAAATACTAATAAAAAAGTGTGTTTTATTAAAAATGTCATTACAAATTATGAACACAAACGTAAATGAATGCCTCAAAGGTACACTATCACGGCTACTATGATTTGGATAATACAACTTCAGTTCTATAAAACATTTTTTGGTTTTTGCATGAACGTAGAAAAAATATTGTATGCAACTCGTGCAAAAAGTGTTTATTGCACGCGACGTGAAATTGTCCAACGAGGCCGTTAGGCCGAGTTACTTGCACTTTTTGCACTTGTTACATAAATAACTATAAAAAAAGTTAAATATTTTCTTAATAATGATACTAAAAACTGTAAAATATAGAAAGTTTTGGGATTATCAAAATTATATCCTGTTCTCAGAAATATTTAATTTACTATTTAAAAAATTAAAAACTAGCAAACCAATTAATGAGTGAAAAATAGAAATCTTAAAAGTTGAACTTAAAAATAAAAAAACGAAATATTCTGATCTACAAACACAATATAACGAAATAAATCCCAAATTTATAAGAGTTGACTATAAAAATCAAAACTTATCTATCAGTGGTCGGAATTTGGGGCACATTACAGGGCCGCATTCAGGTCCATATCTGCTAATAACTATTTAATGCGTCAGTAAATTTTATTTTGAAACATTAACAAGCGATAGATTGCCGTTAAAACTGATCTAAGGCAACAACTAGGGTTTTAAAGTAACTTGCGCATACATTTTGTATTATAAATAAATTTTTTGTTTTTTATTTGTTAAACAAAAAAGTTATATATTGAACAATTTGTAGTTTTATTAAAAACTAATTAATGCATATAGAATTAAATCGTATAAAAAGTAATTTAAAATACAAATAAGGAGCAAAGAAAGTTAGAAACGCATTTTTTTGTGGCAGTGCATTGGTGTAGAAACAAAACAAAATTGACCTTGCTAACGAGAAGTTTTAAATTTAAATCTGGTCTAAAGCTTGATTTTTATGTGTACGGCGTTCGGTAAACGTTTTGCGGGACGCTCTTCATGCTCTTTTCTGAAAATTCAATGCCAGACAACAAAAGTTGACAGTTTTAAACTTTTTACGTCATGAGTGCCGTAAAACGTTTATCGGACTCCGTACACATGAAAATCAAGCTTAAGTCTTAAAACGTTTTAGTGAATCTACTTGTAACTGATCCGAATATGTAAGAATATACTTCAGTTGGTTACCAATAGTATTTATTTTAAAATTATAATATATTGAATTCTTGTTAAAATATATCATAAGTAGTTTTCTAGGTTAGTTTTGGTTAACTTATTTCTTTTTACATCTAAAATATACGTATGAGCCAAAAAGGATCTTTTGCAATCCACAGACGTTAATGGGGCAAACTGGAAAGCGTCTACTGGTATATCGCTATACCAATAAGACTCGGTACCAAATTCTTCTTTTAAACTCTTTACTATTTCTAAATCAGGATTTTTTGTAAAACGGCAGCCATCTTTTCCTGTAAACGAATTCCTACATCGCGCGGCACTGCGTCAATTTTAGTTTTTAATTCGTTAAGTTTTTCCAGAGCGAATTGTACGGAAACTTTTGAAGACTCCAACATTTGAATTATTTCAGGGATCATGCCGAAATTGTTTGCCACAAAATTTAAATCAGCAATTAATTCTGGTTTGTCCATTAGTTCACGGCAATTTCTAATTGCTGCACTGGAACGGGGGTCAAATAATTCAAGCACAGTTCTCACTTCATTATAATGATGTTGAAAATAACACACAGCTTTAATCCATGTACCCCAACGGGTAATAATCGGCTTTGGGGGCAACGGCAAGTCTGGGAACATTTCCTTAAATGTTTTAACGCGAGATGGAGCTTTTAAAAAGATTTTCTTAACATTATCCACGAAGTTATCTACATCTTTGAATTGATTTCTTACTTCTTCTGCAATTCGATGAATGCCATGTACAATACATGTAACATGAAGTGTTTGTGGGCACTTTGCCTTTATTTTTCTTCCAGCATTAAGCATATAGCTGACGGCATCGCTTGTAAACATAATAATATTTTTAAAATTTTGCTCAGCTTTATTCAACCATAGCCACCTTAAAGTTTCGTCAAAAAAATTAAATATCGTTGTACCATTCGCTATTTCACTTGTTACTTTAGACGCTATAAGATAGCAAGAGGAAGGTTTGTTTGGTTTTAAATTCGTCACAAGAAGGTGTACAATCTTTCGTCCCAAAAAGTCAATGGTTACATTCATCGATACCCAAAAAAATCCCTCAAGCAATTCTTGACGAATTTGGACAACCTGGTTCTCGAACACTTTGTCTAGAAACGTTTTCCTTAAAAGAGATTCTTCAGGAATATCGTGACCTACACAATATTTCAACAAGAAGCTTCGAAAATGCTTATTATTTAACTTTATCCATGGTATATTTGCAGCGATCATCATCATCATCGCTACTTCAAAGCAAAACTCATTTGCAAGGATCTACTCTTAAAAGTGAGTTCTTTCATGCACACGACTTTTTATATGCTTTTCAACCTGAGATTTTCGGGAAGCCTCTATGGAGGTATTACAAGCAGTGCAGGTTAAAGTCACAGCATTATAATGTAACTCTTCGTGTCCTTCTATCCATTTTCTAATTGTTGCACTGCGAGCTTGCCTTTGTGCCATTAGAATTTCGATACAATCGCGAATCGCCAATACAGAGCGAAGGACACTATGCAAGAAGTACACACACATACCACGCATTCACCAGAGAATATGCGATAAGAGTACAATAGATACAATAGAGCATGTTCATGTAGAGGGCGCAGAAGTCGAAGTTTGGAATACTGTTCTGTGGACTGTGCCTGTTCTGTCTGCTGTTAGACAAAGAGGATAAAGATAGAAGTGAGATAGAAATACCAAAGTTCGACTACAGCGCCTCCGTCACGCCTAGTATGGAACATCCGCAGACAAAGTAGTAACTAAAATCATGAACATGAACATAGTTATTTGCATGGTGGAAGAATACAGGTGAAGCGGTAAGCGGTACGAAATTTGGTCATTCTTGCGCATGACGTCACCTGCGGAGCATATTTTTGTTTTGCCTATGTCTCCAATGTTAAAAAGCGACTTTTAAAGTTATTCTAATATTTTCCTGGTAGTGTTTAGAAGTTTATAGATATATTTATCTTAATATTTAATATCATTTCTATATATCAATAGGCCTGTTTAGAAATTATTGGTACGTATTATTAAATTAATTTCTAATTAAGTTGGTAGTGTAATTGATATAAAGTTAGGTTATGTAACATTTTTGTTGTATTTTAAAGATAAAAGAAATAGTTTATATTCATTATTGTTATTTTAATATATCATTATTATTATTATTATATTATTGATACATTAAAATCTATTTTAGGGTGTGTAGTTACTAACAAAATGCCAGGTTGTGCAGTGTTTGGCAGCAAGAACTATTTAAGAAAAACAAAGAGAACAAATATTAAGTATTTTGGATTTCCGAAAACAGATATAGCCAAAGCCTGGGTCAACGGTTGAGGGTGAAAAGATACAATTAATTTGAAAAATGGTATGATTTTTGCAAACCTAACTTGAATATGATTAATTTTATGTCTTGTTTCTTTTTTAAGCTTGTATTTGTTCCATACATTTTTCGAAGGATTGTTTTGAAATACCCTTACAACAGAGGCTATTAAACTACTCCACTAAGACTGGTAGAAACTTAAAACAAACAGCAGTTCCTACTGAAAATCTCCCATTGAAAAAAAGACAATTGTCTGCAGAAAGTGAAGATAGATTAGGAAGGCAGGCAAAAAGATATCGACAAACATTTATTGAGAGCTTTGTTAATATTTCGGGGCATTCCAGACAATTGTCAACTGCAGACCAGGACAAGGAGAATCAAAGTTTGGAAACAGACACTCAAAATATATTGGTATCATCAGAACTAGAAACGTATGTACAAATTTACCTTATTAACAAAAAATGTGGCTTTGAAAAGAAAATTACAGAACTTAGCATATACTAATTAACATTACAATCATTTCAAAACAATTTTTTTATTAAATATTAAACTTTGAAGTGATAATTGCTTTTATTTCAATATTAAAAATTAAATTATTATTTTAGAGAAAACTATTAAGAGTCTTCGTGAAGAACTAAACAAAATTACTGAAAAATGCAACAAATCAAATATAGAAATACTTTCATTGAAAGAAGAAATTAGCCAGTTGAAAAATAATTCTCAAGTGGAAATTCAGGAAAGTAAAGTAAATGTTTCACTCCGGGTCAAATAAATGTTTTATACAATGAAAATAAAAAAAGAATTCGTTGAAGTTCGGATGACATAGCATCCACAATCTCCCTAAGAAGCATTCGTCCTAAGGCTTATAGATTTTAAGAACTGTTCATTATCCTTTACCTGGGTTTACTACCTTAAGAGACTGGCCTAAATGTTTAAATTTAGAACAATAAATATACATTATAAAGTGTTAAGCAAGATAAAGAAGTAAACATTATGTATAAACCATTTTTAAACATAAATAAATCAATTTAAAATAACACCTCTGTGCTTTTTATTAAAATAAAGTATGTTTTGCCAAGTGTTTCTATTTATTAAATACATAAAGGGGTTTACCAGCACCCAACCATACAAGAAAGTAATTGATCTGTGCATACAAGTTATTGATATCCATGTTTGATGACTAATTTAAAATTAAATTATTACATTTATAATCTATAAAAGTGACCACATACTTCCAAACTGATTATTTAAGAAAATTGGCGACTAAAAAAATATACTGATCATAATAAAATTCATTTCACCTTAATTTTATTGTTCAGCATTCGTTAACATTATACACAAGTTTACTTGAATCGATTCAAAATTATTTATTGTTGAAGAATTAATTACATTCTTATTAACAAAGATAGATAACATAAGTTAAAATTCAAAGGAAAAGAAACAAAATACTTATTCATAAATGAAATTTTTTATTTTAAAATTTTTTAAATTCTAATATCAAGACAAAATATAATATAAAAACAAAAATGCAACCTAAGTACAAATATGACAATCGAGAAATATATATACAGGAGTATACACATAAATTAAAATGAACTACTTAATTCAAGGAATCAGAAAAATTTATCCACTTTGTAGTATACCTTTTTGAGCAAGAGTTTCTTGCTTTTTAAACATATTTATGAGTCAGCACTTCCTATTATTAATTAATTGGCAAGAGGTTAAACATTTTTCCACTATACAGGGGACACTACATATTTCAGTTTCACATTTAAATTAGTTATTTGTGTATGCCTTTTATTAGTTCCAATTTTTATCCCTGCTGAGCCACTAAAACTTTTTAATGGTAATGTCTCTGTAAGTTTAGGTACGTTTTGGCTATCATCTTGATCTCAATCTATCAGATAGCAATGCTAGGTATGAAGATTTAAATCCTAGATGTAACATCCTCTTCCAAGTTTTGTGATGGAAAAATTCAGTTTCTGATGAACACTATCTTTTTTACGCCAGAGAGAAACTATATTAGGCTAAATTCCTTACACCATGGCTAAATTCGAAATAAATTACCTACTTTTTTTGTATAAAAGCACAAAATATTTTTTTTATTTGGCATTACTTTTGTACAAGCGTCTATCTGCCTATAGTGACTTTTCTTGTAAGTATTATTGAGCATAACTTGATGTTATTTGACGCAGTTGTTATTTTCTTCTAAATATATTTTCAGTTTTATAATGATTATAGAACTAGGAAATAAAAGTTAAACTTCTTGACAATCATTACAAAATGTAAACAAAGCCATGGAATGGCATGGCAGTGTATAGGCGGCCGTGGCAATACCGATGTTGACGTCATAAAACCTGCGCACCGCTTCACCTGTATCCTTACACCATGGTTATTTGTAGTATAGACGAAATTATTTTGCCCCTACTTCATTTAAAATAACGCGAGTTACATGTTGGGCGGCTTTAGGGTTTGTACAATATCTTATGAACTGTGACTTTAACAAAATATCCAAATACTAGCATGTATATTTTGTCAAGGTCACGGTTCGTAAGATTTTGTACAAGCCCTACCTTATACCTTCGCGATCAAGGCAATCGCCTCTCTGATGCATTTTTGTAGCTTAATTATCTATTTGTTTTTTATAAAGTTTGTTCCGTTTGCTTTTGGCTGCAAAAGTATGTAGAAGGGTCTGTTCGCATTTTTATAGCTTATAGAAAACAGTAAATACATATACACAATTTAATTATTTATCTGTTTATATAATTTATTATCCCTAGAAATTGGTAGACAGTGTCGCCTTCCCAAATTCAAAAAGATAAAATTAAAAATGTTTAAACGATGATACTCCACACAATAAAGTAGCGTTGCTGGAGTTACGAAGGCTCACAAACATTTGAAAGCCGTTTTAAAAAAGCGTATCACTTGTAGCTCCCCCTGACTACTTATAACTATAAAACAAAACTGATCTACTAACCTGCTATGAGGGGATACCTACGTAAAGCCAAAAACCGTATCAAAATCGGCCCAACTGTTTCAGAGAAACACATGCTGCAAAGCGCCCTGGTGACCTATAACCGTAAACCATGCCTAAGAGCCTGCACAGAAGTGATACCAGTGATACCTATGCAATGAAAAAACCTCATCGAAATCGGTCCAGGAGTTTTTAAAGAAAATGGTTACATACATAAACAAAAAAACAAACAATTTCCGTCGTGAAAATATGAAGTTATGACCAGTTTTGTTATATAAGTGTATATTACCCGTTGGAAATAAATATTTAATACCAAACAAAAACAAGCGATTATAGGAATGCCCCTGTACAGGATGACTCGTTCCTCCAAAGGAAACAAGTTGCATTAGAACTAATGAAAATTCAAACCCTACAAAAAACTAATGAAATAATAAATCTAGCAGATGATACCAATGAGGGGAGTCATGAGAATGATTATATCACAGTAACAAGACGGCAAAGGAGAAAAACAAAACAATTATGAGAAGTGAAGAAAGTGATGATAAATTTAAAGGGAAAATCAAACAAAAAAATTTGGCTCTTTCCCAGCAAACATTTTCTATAACATTAGTTATAACTTGACTTTGTTAAAGACGAATTTACTTATTGAGGTAATTATTACGTAAAATTGACTAGAAAAATATACCTCTAATGTAAATTTTCCAAACGGTTTTAATTTATATTTAAATTTACGTAAATTATACCAAGAAATCTACCTGTTACACAAATCTGCTTAAAAGTAACTTTAACCATATCAGCAAGAGAAAAACTACTAAAAAAATAACAATTACTTCAAAGTTAAATTTCTTTTGTAGTAAAATTAGGTGCCATATTTAGGTAATATCTACCTGTTTGGCAACTAAAAATCGTCTTTATAGTAGAATATCCAACTAGGTAGATTTGGTTAAAAATTCTACGTAATTTTATGCCTCCATAGTAACCTATTTGGCCGCTTTTATTTACTCTCCTTTAAAGTAATATTAGGTCGAGATCGTAGCAAAATTCTACCTGTTTATCTACCTAATTTCAACCAAATAGTCGAATACTCATTTAGTTGACCTATAAGTCATCTTCAAGAAATATTTATTAACTTTGTTGTAGCAATTATCTGAAAAATCTACCACCACCAATTTAAAAAGAGTCATACATGACCTATTTGTAAAATTTATATTATTTAGGTTATTTTAACAATTAGGTTGTTCAGTTACTGTCTTCGTCATTATTCTTAAGAATTTCGGCCATTTTAAAAAAACCATTACAGTCGTAATCTTAATTTACGTGTGGTGTAGATAGAGCTTTAAATAAGTGCGAAAAATAATTAATAAAATGAGTTCGAAAAATAATAAATCATATCGTTATACTTTCGATTTTTATCGTAAAGTGAAACGTCTAAAATCTCAAGTGCAGAACAACGTGACCTAAATATGTCATATTGACCTGTAGGTAAATTTTTTATAAAACCTATAAGTTATTATTTCTTTAAATAGGTAAAGTTAACTAATATGTCGTGAAATTGAAGTTAATTCAACTTAATAAAAAGGTATTTGTAAAATAGGTAGATTTCCTTAGTCATAACAACTTTTAGGTCGAATTCGCACAATACGCCATATTTTCTTAATGTAATTGAAGTACGATTCCAAATTTTAAATTTTTAACATGACCATAACTAGAAGATACGAATGAAAATACCGAAAAACGAAACTTTATTGATTTTCTAAAGTGATACACAACAAACGTAACATAGTTTTAGCTCATAATATTATTATTTTTTTACACGATCATATTTTTTTCTTATATTTTTTTAATTAGAGAGTATTTTGGAAGGGCATTGTTATTTTTCTAAGTAGAACTGTTAACATGCACGACAAAATTTTCTTCGCATTAATTTCAACAAGCGTGAACTGTATATTCACCGCAATTACATTACATATATTTTTGTCACCGACATTTATTTATTTTCAATCTTTCATGTGAATTAGGTATATGTTTTGGTTGTGTTGGTGACTTCTTACAATATTTCTACTTATATATAGATAACAATACCAAATAAGTATAAAATTTCTTTTCGTACACTTGGAGGCATACGTCATCTGCAAATATTTTGGTAGTTTCTACCTAAACTTAGTTAAATCAACGTCGAATTAACGTTATACTAACGTCAAATTTCCCTAGAGAGGTATTACTAACCAAACGTAATGGGCTACTACAATGTGGATTTAGATGTAATTCTACCAATTTTGGTAAATAAAACCAAATTTCGACGTCGTCTTATTCTCCACTTATGTCGAATCCACGTCGAACCAACGTAAATTTTACTTAATTATGGTTAAATCTAATTTTGCGACCAAATTTATTATATATAATTTAGGTAGTATCGACGTCAAATTACACCAAAATGTTTGCTGGGATGTATCTAGTGTATCAGACACTGTAAATGAAGAGAATGTTAAGAAATACATTCATAAACGCACAAACGTAGAAGACATTTATGTGAAGAAACTAGACACAAATTTTGGAGTAAATACAGCAATTTTTGATACAAGTAAGTTTAGAGTATTTGAAAACGATACGTAAAAGAATTTGTAAATAATGTATTTTATAGTATAGAAGATTTTTTGAACTTTTAAACTAATCTTAACATGAATTGTCTATTATATACATTTTATTTTTTAATATATTATACTTAACACTTTTTTGACTAGTCTGATAGGATTTTACATTATGTACCTAGTGTCTTTGTATAATGAATAAATTCTATTTCTATCCTATATTCGAAAAAATAATACAACTACCAAACCGTACTCACCTTTGAATAGTCTCTTCATTTTTTGGGCAACGTTTTTCATGCGAAATTAACAATTCTTCAGTTTTGATCCCCGCTTCGCAATACGTGCAAATAAATAAATTCGTAACGTCCATCGTCTTCATTTTGTTAGGTTGGAATTTACAAAAACGTTCATGGGTGTTCCTATATTCCTTCGTGCTTAAACCAATGCTGCAATGCTTGCAAGTAAAGAAATCTGGTTGGCTTTCTTCCTCTGTTGGTTCAAAATACTTTTTTGGATCAATACCTTCAAAATATAAAAATTCTCATTCAATAATATTCGTTTTTACTTTTTTTTTATTAATGAACAAAAATTCAATATTTTTCGATATTAATGTTTCTGATAAAACTTGACAGGGTCAATGACATATATCGATGGCTTAAGTGCAAAACGTCGTAACTCCAAAAAGTAAATTTTACAGGGGAATAAAAAAACGAATTAGACTTTAGATGTAATTTTGAAGAGCAACTTTTTGTTTTGGCGCGTAAAATTAATTTCATTTTGTACTGTGGCTTACGATAGTTTTACACAAGACGCAGCTATAACATACGACTCCAACAATTTCACCCATGATTTGATTTTTTATGAAAGAAAATATAAAAATGAAAACGTGAAGCATATTGTGTCTTCAGGAATGAACGTATATTGTTTATTTCATACTCTTTTTACTTTATTTTCTACAATAAAAACATCTCATCGTAGCTTGTTGACACAATTAAATGACAAATGTTACCCCATTCTTTAATGTCAACTTTCCCCTTTTTATTTTGCTAACAGTACTATCAGTAAAAATAGTCTCATAATATTTGATATCTTCTAAAAAGTATAGAACAGCATCATCTCTAGAAAGTGCTTTACCGGCACTAGAAACGATATATATGCTGCCACTGTTTTAAACGTTTAGTATCCTATAAAAAAATATTTACAATGACACAATTGGGGAAAAAAATAAATAAATAAATAAATAAATAAATAAATAAATAAATAAATAAATAAATAAATAAATAAATAAATAAATAAATAAATAAATAACAATAGCAACTCTTTATCTAAAATTAAAACTCTATAAAAAATAAATTTTCCTTCCTTCCCGTATGAAGACTAGATATCTCTAGTCTTCATAATGTGTAGTAGTTATATACAAATTGCTCAAAGCAAGTGGCTATATTTTATTTATTTCACCTTAAACGAAAATTGTACAAAAAAATTATACAACGTTTATCGTGAAACATGTCATGGTAATTAAAAAAATACATAAAATTTTATGCCTAAAAAAAATTAGAAAAAAAAAACTATTATATTTGTTTGTCAACATCTTTATTTAAACAAAAATGATGCGTTAAATATACGTTTTTGATAATTTTTAAGAAATGAATATATTTATTCCCTAATGACTTCGTTATCTGTGTTTAATGGTTTTAAAATGTGTTTCAAGTAAATAAACGACAAAACGACAGACGGGTTACAGATTGAATTTGTCAACACAGGCACAAAGACAGTTGAAAACTAACTTTTGACTTCCTACTTCCTACAAATGAAGCTGTAAACCGCAGTTCTTTTTTAACTGGAGCATCTGTTTCAACAATTGAACGTATTGTACGCGAAAAGACAAAAAAAAGGCTCCTTAGAAGCCCCTAAAACGCATACCCGTGGTCGAAAATTGTTGAAATTTGACGATAAACAAAAACAAATCATTCGAAGAACTGTGCATTCTTTTTTTTTTTTTTAAACAAAGAAAACGAAGAAATTTCATTAATGAGCCGTGAAACTTTACGAAAAATTTTATGGGGCCTAAAATTTCGTTTTGTCAAACGGTGTAGGTCAGATATAGTGTCCTGGCGACGGCGTTATTTACGAAATATTAAAGAGTTTAGAGTCGCTAAAAAAAAGATATACTATCTCAATGAAACGTGGGTGAATGCTGGACACACGGTATCTAAGATATGGCAAGATACTTTTGTAACTAGTCATCGCCAAGCTTTTATAGAGGGATTATCTACAGGTTTGAAAGCACCATCAGGTAAAGGACATCGCCTAATTGTTACCCATATCGGAAGTGACAGTGGATTTTTGGAAAATAGCGCTCTTGTATTTATATCGAAAAAAACAGGAAACTCACGAGGACATGAATGCGGAATGCTTTGAAAAATGGTTTACTGAAGTATTACAGCGTGTAAAACGAAATTCAGTTATTGTACTAGATAACGCTTCTTATCAGAGTCGACGAGTTGAGCGCATTCCGATAATGTCCAATAGAAAAGCGGATATGCTGCGGCTGCGGGATAAAGCAATAACATTTACTGAGGAGATGCTTAAAGAGAGAGAGAGAGAGAATATATGTTTATTGTCCAAGTTAAAATACTTATTGACAAACACAATATTGTACAAATTACAAAGTGAAATTAATGAACCTAATAAAGGAACACCGCCATAAATATATTCAATATGTTGTCGACACAATAGCTCGTGATCGTGGTATTACGGTATTAAGACTCCCCCTTAAGGTGCGATTTCGGTGGTGCTGCGCGACTAGAGACGCTGGCCGCGGCAGCTGTAGCCGCGATGAAAAGATGTTTTCGGTGACGCAGTTCTAGGCAGCCGTTGAGTGCGGACTGTAGCATTTTTGTCATTTTAAATTTTTGCGGGGTTTATTAAAAAATATGGATTACGAATTAATTTTATTAGAAAAAGAGGAAGATGAAATGTTTAAAAGGCGACGCGAGGAAGGGTATTTTCATTTATTAATAAATGATCATCTAAAAGAAGATGAAAAAAAGTTTAGGGAATTTTTCCGATTGATTCCTGATCAATTCCAATTTGAGTTTATATGAGAGGAAGGGTAGTTATTCCGGTAGGTATGTGGTAGAAAAATTAGGTAACAACTATAACTACGCTATTAAAATTTACAAGTCATTTCGCAGATTTTGATTTAACCATTAAAATAGCATAAATTTTTTTTACAATATGATACTAACCTTCTTTTTTTAATTCTTTAGCGACCTTTTTCCAACAATTTACTTTAATAACAAAATTTTTGTAATTTTTGACTTCATAATCATAAATCATGGGTCATTTGACGTAAATGGCGACATTTTTTGCTCTAGTCACTACGATTTCAGCCACTCTACTGCTTCGCGAGCAGTCGAACAGCAGCCGTTGCCGCCGCTTTAGTCGCGCTGCGCAAGCCAAATTTGTTCCATTTGAAACTGTACAAACCAGTGCAGCGACTGGAGACGCAGCTGCTATCCGCCGCAGCCAGCCGCGTCACCGAAATCGCACCTTTATCACTGCGAATTCAATCCTATTGAACTAATTTGGGCGCAAGTGAAAATAAAACTTTTAAAATAGTCGACGTTCAAAGTTTATTAAAAACCGGTATAGAACGTATAAAACCAGAAGATTGGCAGAATGCTATTTCCCATGTAATTAAGGAATAAAATAATATGTGGCGCTTGGACGGTATGATCGAAACGGTAGTTGAACCTTTAGTCAAAACTTTAAGTTCCGACGATAAAGACGATTCCAGTGATAGTTCTGCAGAATCAATGGATTACGAAACTTCATAGATTTAGAATTCAAGTGATACCAAGCTTAATTTACATATTTTTATAATAAACAGAATACAATTATAAACATAGATGAATTATTATAACAACCAACCAAATTTCATCTAGTAATATTCACAAATACCCATTTAATTTGCCAATATAGTATTTCTGCGACACTGAAAGACTGCATTTTTATAAGATAACGATACCTTTTGCAGTTTTAAGGCGCACCTTCTTCAATATTTTGTTCTACTATAATACCCCATTTAATTTTCCAATAGTGTTTCTACGCCACTGGCATATTTACATATTTACATATTTTAACAATAAACAAAACAAAATTATAAACATAAATGATTATTACTACAAAAATAGATAACCAACCTACTTTCATATAATATTATTTACTATTACCGCATTTAATTTGCTAATAGTTTTTATACGCCACTGGCGTAATTCATTTTGGCAATAAACATGCATTTATGACTAGTTGGCAAGGATTCCGATAACTTCTGCAGTTTTAAGCGCGTGATTCCATTCATTATGCCCTGGTATAGTATGATTGTTATACGTAAACAGGGAGGAATCACCTTCTTCAATATTTTGTCCGAGTATAGCAACTTTTTCGTAATTTATTACACATGTTATCAATATGTGAATTTCAGGTTATGCCATAATCAATAGTGATTCCTAATATTTTAATATTTTCTTTAGATATAAATGGATTATTAGTGTTTTCAAATAATTGGTTTTGTATAAATTGTCCATTATTATTAAATAACATTGTATTAGTTTTGTTTAATTTTATGTTAAATTTTCTAACCATGATAAAACTTGATTATATGTTCTCTTTGTTGCTATTTTTAGTGCATCTGCATTATTTTCGATAATTAAAATATCTGTGTCATCAGCATAACAAGTTGGATATATTCCATTCAAGGAAGTGATTAGGTCGTTGGCAAAAACTAAAAATAAAAATGGACCGAAAATCGATCATTGGGGAACCCCTTGTGAAACTTTCAGCTCCAAACTAGGAACATTATTCACTTGAACAATTTGATAAATATGATTCCAATAAGTCAAGTGGTATACCTCTTACCCCATATTTAGATAGCTTAAGCAGTAGAAGTTTATGATCCACACAGTCAAAAGCTCTAGAAAAATCAATAAATAAACCCATTACATGCTTCTTGCTATCAAGGGATCTTACGATTTTAGTATGGAACTGGAATAATTACATTAAATTTAAAACTACTATCTAGCAAAATTGACTAAGGGTCTATTGTTTATGTCTCCACAAAAAAAATATATCCTCAAATATCTTGATGTCATTCATAACTCTGCATTACAAAATATATCCTTTGAAAGCTGGGAGAATTAATCATCTCTTAATAAAAGAAGAGAATATCTTACTTTGAGTCATGCAAGTTCCTTAATAAATCCAAAAAACATCCATTCAGAAAGATTTAAAGACTTGTACTTACTAAGAAATAACTGTTACCCTACTTTTTAAGAAAGAGAAAACAAATAAAAACTTTGCTATGTCTAATATTGCCCTCAAACATTGACACTACATTTACAATCTTAAACAAAACTTGTTCTCTAGATAATGATACCTTTTTGCCAGACTATCATAAGTGCCATTTGAACAAATGTCACTTACATTAGTCTGGCAAAAAGGTACCGTTAATAAAACAATAATTTATGGCCAAATTACATCAACTACAAAGTTTACATGGACGTGTCTAAAACATCAACATTCCAAAGTAAAATACAAACTTAGGCCTTAACTAGTATTTATACTGGGGAAAGGTTTGCTCTTTTGAAAGCCCTTACCCATACAGACAAATTCATAATAATAATAGACTCCCATAAATCTCTCAAAACTATTTAGAATGTATATTCCTATCATAAACTAACCTGCCTATTAAAAGGAAGATAGCATCAATCAGAATATGACATCAGTCAAGTAATATAGAGGAAAAACACTTAAATTGATTAACCAAGTACAAAGAGAGGATAATAAAAAATATTCCTGTCGAAATACTTTTTATATTAATAGGTAGTTTAATATTAAAAAAATAGTATATTTTCTAGAGGATTACATTTCTAAAAAGTAGTGATCAGACTTTTCATGAAAAGCAACGACGGAAATGTCAGGAAAAGTACTAACTTGATAGAAATGTATAATGTATACCTACCACTAGCAACACTGGCAATAATATTACGTCTCCTTTTCTTTGAGTCTTTTGACAATCTTTCCAGAAACTTCCTTTTGATATCCTCTAATCGAAAAAGACACACAGTTAAGTGTTTCTCCCTCCTGGATGCATTTTTAAAAACATTTTGGGAACAATATTTATATTTACATTTGCGTTTTAGTTTTTTATGGCAAATCATTTGTAAAATAGTGTCCGTCGAGGAATCCGGATGTACGAAATTCGCAAAAATGTTATAAACACTCCAAATTAACTAGTTTCTATTGTAATTAGTAAAATTTCGAGTAAAATCAATAATTAAAATAGTAAATTTTATAAGTTATATTATTCACAAAACATCAAAACATTAACTTCTTCTTCTTTTCATTTTTTGTAGGCCTCAGCTGCAAGGGCTATTCGGCCTAAAATTAACTCTATATGACAAATGCTGTCTTTAAAATCACACCGTTGCCAAGTTGTTTATGAAATAGTAAGTTTCAGGATTATTTATAATCTACAAATTACAGAATTTTTTAAAAATTATTTTGTATATATTAAATTCCTAGTATGTAATGTAGAGGTACACTGCATAGTTTTGTGAAAGAAAAGTATGCTAAAAGTTAGGTTAAAACAGTAAAAATATCGCATTTTATTATAATATAAATGAAACCTAATTTTCCATATCTAATTTCAGTTAAATAGTACAAAAAGTAAGTTATTTCAATATCCTAGTAGTAAAACTTCGAAATTAACACATTCGGATAGTAAGATGAATCCGTAAAGTACTCCCAAACTTTGCACGTTTTTATTTTAAAATATATGAAACAATTATTCGAAAACACCGTTAAAACAAATGTCAGTAATCATTTGTCACTTCTTCTGTTTTAAACTATATTTAGCCTTTGTTCTTAAGCTATTCAGCCAAGTTAAATAATTTAATTTAGCGCATGCGGAATACACTTTTTAACTATTGAAGAGTGTATTTGGACAAGTTAACTTTGGACCGATTCCACCGTTGTCCTAAACGGAGATTAAAATGACGTTGTTAATGTAAAAATGTCATTTTAAACTTCGTTTAACACAACGGTGGAATCGGTCCTTTGCAGACTAGACTGTGGACTTTTCTAAGCGACCCGTCACTACTAAAAAGTAAGAACATTTTCAACAACAAAGATATTTCGAAGGCTGAAACAATGTAACGAATCACATGGCGCAGTCAATAATATCCACTATATCCCACTTCATTTACAAAATTTAAATCATTAAGGACCGATTCCACCGTTGTGTTAAACGAAGTTTAAGTTGACATTGTTAATGTAAAAATGTCATTTTAAACTTCGTTTAACACAACGGTGGAATCGGTTCTTAGATACATACCTAAGTTTTCGGCGAATTCGGGCCCATAATATACCAGTAATTCTTCTCCTATCAAAATATCTCTAAAAGTCCTATAATAAAGTTCCCCTTTATATTGATAGGCAATTAAATTTTGTTGCGAGACATTCGTGGCACAATTCACATATCTTAAATAATTCGAATTCTTTTCGTCACTGGCATCGATCTAAAAATAGAAGATATGAAAACAATTATTCTAAAAAAATGATAAGCTTAATTAGTAAAGGAAACAGTTGAAACTACATATAGGAAAAAAATTGTTCAAATTATGTAACTGCTGAGCTAAAAATCGAAAAATTAGTCCCACAGGCCTATTTTTTAAATAGAAAAATACATTTTACATAAACAATTTTATTCCTACAGTCTTGATTTTACTCACCACCCGTCCATGTTTCAATTTCCATGCAAAACCCTTCTTAGCCTCAATTTTGGTTATATAGCCTTCATAAGGGCCCATACGTACGCCTTTCTGAATCCTTTTGATAGCAAACACTCCTAAGCCGTGAATGGTGGATTTCCTGATTTCAAGGACACCAGAAGGCACAGTTTTTCTTGCTCGATCTGTAATACCCATTGGGACAATAATGTTATCCAAACAAATCAACATTCCACATTTCGAACAATAATCCACATAATCTTCCTCACAATTGTCGCAATCTTAAAATAATAAATAAATAATAATAAAATATATAAGGTTTGTTTGGGTTTCTTTAAAATTCGATGTAAACTGTCCAAGATCCAGTGGAACAGTTGAATAGCAAATTATTGTATTTAACTTTTAAACACTCCACTGCTCAACTAGTTATCTGAGAGTTATCAACGTATTTTTGAAGAAGCCCATTATAAACATATATTTTTTTTTACTTTAAATTACCAAAGTGTCACTTACAAACATATCGATCATTGTCAGGTTCTGTATCCTCAAAGTAATTTTTTCGGGTAACGTTTCGTTTAGGAAGTCTTTTTTCTAAAAAAAAAAATATTTAAAATTCTGAAATTCTACTGTTGATAATATTTAATTTACCAACTACTGTGGATGTTGATTTGGGTGCTAATGTGGATGTTGATTTGGGTGCTAATTTGGGTGTCGATTTGGGTGCTAATTTGGACATTTTTGATGGTAATTTAATTTTGCTGGTTATTGGTCGTTTAAGTCCCTTTGAAACTGTTTTCTTTTCTTTTTCTTTCATGAATTCTGGTTTAGGCATGGGGTTCACTATAAAATCTACATTAAAAAAAAGTAAATATTATTCTACATTCTATATTCTACAGAAAAAATAAAGTTGTACTAGGCACACATAAAATTTTATTATTTAGACTTTCCTAAAACTAAATCAATGACAGTTTAAACATTTACCAAGGAAAATAAAGTAATGATTGTACTAGAAGAAAAATTAAAATAAAAAGTTTTCATGGTTTTTCGTGAGTGTGCTTCAACTATATATTGGCAGTTAAAGTGTTAACAAGTCAATAAAACATGTGTAGTAGAAATGTTTTATAAAAAATATACTTTCATTATTATTATTAATTTTAGTACACTACCATATTAAATTTAAGAGCTCTCTAATGTCTACAATTTGAAAGGGGTACAGTTTATTACATTTTTATTTTATTTATTTACAGAAAATCTCCTTTTACAAAATAATTATTATCAGTAGATATTTTAAACCTAACCTAAAGTATTACACAAAAAAGAAAAAAAACTTCTATATCACAAAAAACTTAGAAAAAACTTAGAGGGTTTTTTGATCTTGTGAAGGTGATTGAAAAACATTTACGTGGATTTAAAGACATGGTATTATTTAAGGTACTGGCTAGCCGACCGCCGGCGTTAGTTGAATTTAATAAAACGAAAACCGTCTTCCGGCGGCATGGTCTTCTCACATATAAGAAAGCCGCCGAAAATCTAAACTGATTTGTTAATGAGGGCGGCAGGCTATCAGAGTATTGATAAAGCCGCCGGACGACGGTCTTCTGTATTTAAAACATTAAATGCCGCCGGAAAAAACTCGCGTATCGGTGACAACACTAATCATTTGTAATTGCTGTGGTGGGAGGTGTTTGTGTGAATGCGTCTTGTTTGTTTTCATTTACGCCGTGACTAGCAGTAGTATTTTATAAACCTTAGAAGCAAATTTCACATACATGAACAAATAATAATAATAATAATAATGCCGTAACAACAAGAAGAAGGAACGACTTATCGTAGGGTGGCGGCTTCGCCGCCACCATAAAATTTCAATCCATACCTGGCTACGCCGATCGGAATAAACAACAACGGCCTGGACACAGCTCATCTACTCTGTCAAAAGGAGACCGATGTACAAATAAATCGCGTACTACATATGATCATTTGCCACAAAAATGTAGACGATTTTACAAGTATTTTTTCTTACCACCGGCATTCAATGTTTTAAATACAGTAGACCGTCGTCCGACGGCACTTTTCAATTCCCTGATAGCATGCCGCCCTGATCAACAAATCAGTTTAGATTTGCGGCGGCTTTCTTATACAGGGTGTCCTTTAAAATGTGTCCCAAAATTCTCAGGCAGATTCCTTAACCAAAAAATGGAAAAAAAATTCCTATAGACCTATGTCCTAAAGTGCCCCCTAAGCGAGCAACAGCCTCTCGAAATCATTTTTTTTATTTTGATTTTTCGAATTTTCTTAAAAATGGAAACAAATAAAAGAACCAAATTTTGGCTGTTAAATATGATCAATAATAGTGACCTTTTGACACCTTCAAAAAGAAATTATTTCGTCAGGGGTGTACTTGGGAATTTTTTGAAAATTTTGATTATTCATAACTTTTTTGTGTTTTTGGTAATGACTTATCCATATTTTTTTTTTTACATTCTACATTGAAAACTACGTCAAAAGGGAATACTTGTTTGATCTCGATTGGAGCAGCCGTTTCCGAGAAAACATCATCCAAAGATATTCGTGCAGTTTAGGTTAATTTTCAATTTTGGCTGTTGTAGCCAAAAAGTTGGAAATCGAGGAACACGGCTTACATGTCCCTATCCTTACTTTTGAAGGTCTATTCAGTGGCAAAAAATATTAGTTGATACAGGGTGATCAAAAATCGGATGTGATTTTGGATTTTTGATCACCCTGTATCAAATAATATGTATTTTATGTCACTGAATAGACCTTAAAAAGTTAGGATAGGGACTGTAAGCCGTTTTCCTCGATTTCCAACTGTTTGGCTACAACAGCCACCTGAATTTGAAAAAATGTGATTTTTGAGTAGCTGTAGATCCTTTACTATTCATATTAGATAACAAGTGTGATATATCATTGAAATCAGATTATCGAGCAGATTCTAAAAATATAAAAATATACAGGGTGTTCCATTTAAAAAACATAACTTTGATTTGGCACGGCCTTATGAAACACCCTGTCACATCGTAACTAATTTTAAAATGTGAAGCTTAAAGCTGCCTACTTTTATTATAACAGATCTACAGAGCTTCCTCACACTAATCAATCACCCTGTATACTATTTTTAGCTCTCTAAATAAAATTTAAAAACTTAGTTCCCATTTATTTATTATGAAGACCATAAGGTTTGTATTTAGCTGTTTAGAATAAAAAAGTAAAAATATGTATTTTTTTGGCGTTTTTGTGTTTCATGGATAATTTTTTTCGCTCACTGATAAAAATGTTTCTTCAGTTAAACATTATTTCTAAAAGTGTTCTGGTGCGATTCGTTGTATTGTTATTATTTTGTTTAAAATGGCTCACAATAACTACAATAATGATTACACATTCGGCGAAATGACGGACATGCACTTATGTTTTGGACTCGCTTCTGGAAATGCCAATGAAGCTCGCAGACTTTATCAGGAGCGCTTTCCAAATAGGCATCTTCCATGCGCTAAGACGTTTTCTAGAATTGACGATAGACTTCGGGAAACTGGTACATTTAAGAAAAACTCTAGTAACAGTGGAAGACAAAATTATATGAGAACTCCTGCTTTGGAAGAAGCAATTTTGGATAGGGTAGCTGAAACCCCATCGACAAGTACCAGAAAAATAGCAAATGGTAAGTAATGTAACCACTCGGATGTTTCGTTTATCGCTAGGCTAGGACCACCCTGTCATTATTCACGAGTGCTACTCATATTTCGTAGAACGATACGTCGAACTGGGACACATAAGAATATTTGGTGATTAGCACGGCATTCTTTGATAGGCATTCATTCGATACGCTTCATTTTATTTACTATTATTCTTAACACCGATTAAATTCGATTCTATATTAAAATCAGATTTATTTCATTTAAAATTAATTAACATAGTTTACAGTTCAGGTGTGGGGTGAACTAACTGCTTACCTTTGTTATAGAAAAACGTACGTGACGTAAGTGAAATACTTTATATACAGATCGTGCAGAAACTTAAGTTGTTACGTAACTAAAACGGATACCATTAGTTAAGTTATTCAGTGATTCGTGTTAAGAACTTGGTATTTTGATCGTGTTAAGAACAATGAGCAAAGATTTTAGACTCTGTAGATGTACGATCTGAACGTAATTATATTCCGACGAGACGAGACAATAGTGACAATAGGTCACCCTTTAACGAAGGGGGTCGTAAAAAGAAGCGATAGTTAAGTATATCGCGAGAAAATATAGTACAAAGCGCATCTCATGGCTTATATTCCTGTTCCAGTCAAAAAGTGCAAGTGTTACATATGAAGCTAGAATTAGACAGTTTGAAACAGTAATAGAGAGAATATTAAGACGAATTCATAAGTAACCATCCACAATTCTGCTCGCGCTGGTCGTTACGAAAAACCAGAGGCATTGTTTGAAGGATACCTGCGAATGCTACGTAAGGAAAGTATCATTGAAGTATCGACTCAAAAAAACAGAGGGTTTGATAAAGCCGTTCCTGAAAGTGGAGTTAGGTTATTCACTTTCGAATACACGAATTACTAAACCGTATACAAAACCTGATGTTTTAAAAGTATGATAAATGTAAAAATAAATGTAATTTTCAGTCAAAGTGTCCGAAAACACTCGTTGAATGCACAGATATCTGTTAGGACACGAAGCAGGACGTTGTGCATAAATTTAAGTAAAATACCAGCTGATGACAAAATAAGGGTGAGTCGAAACCAATTTTAATTTTATCTAATAATCAGGCGTCTAGTACTTGCTATTTTATTGATTGTGTTATTAACGGTGAATATATACGAGGCTTTGTAGACTCGGGTTGTGATGCAGTTACAATTCGTGAATCGGATGCAGTCAAGTTGCATCTACAGGGTCAGCCCACATTATTATGTTTGTGTGGTTATGCGGGAGATTTTGTTATAGTACTTTCAAAGGTTACAACTTTGAATGTTGATTTAGCTACTGTTACCGATAACGTACCGGTTAATATACAGGATGTCCCTGTTATTGTAGGTTAGCCATTTTTAAATAATGATATGGTTACAGTTATCGTTAGATGCAACCAAGTATGACATATTTTATTTTAAAATAACGTCAACGTTGCACATATTAACGAGTCTTTGTCTAAGAAAATTAATTTATGTGTAGAAGAAACTACTATCATTCCGCAGAATTTTGTAGGACTAATTAAAAATGAAAACGTTAAGGGTGTTTTTGTTGATCTAAGATATTTTTATAGATCTAAGATGTTTTTGTTGATCTAAGATATTTTTGTAGATATAAGATGTTTTTGTTGATTTAAGATATAGAAAGTAAGATAATAATTTTCATATTTTACCGTGTGTTGTTATTAACATAAATAATTGTTGCTGTATTCATGTTGCCAATATGTCCGCTAAATCTGTTTGTTACGAAAAAGATAGAATACTTGCTAGAGGTTATACCTGTACCAGAGTTTCGAAGATAGTTACCATCTCAAACTTGATAAGCAACAGATATTGCTGTATTACCAAATTTTACGTTATTCGATCTTGAGAAACAAACTAATTCAGTATTCAATTGAATTGAACATTCTAAATTACTTAACGAGTATGGGGATTGTTTCGCTACTAGTTTACGAAATTTTGCTAAAATGACTGTTACGGAAATGTTGATCACATTAAACGATAGCAAAACTGTAATGTACGGTTCATACTGCATGACTTTTGATTTGGTAAATGCTCCTGCTGTATTACAAAGGATTATGAACAAAATATTTAGACCCACAACGCAGAATGGATGATGAAGACCCACAACGGTGGATGGAGGATGAAGACCCAT